AGGTGAGATGCAGATCGATACAAACACTCAAGACAAGTGGGTGAGCATCCCTGGTCCATGAGTGGAGTGCTATGGCCTAGCTGGATTTGGTCAGGTGACTCAAAAACCAGGGAGGCTGAGGGGGGGGGCACTCTGAGCAGTGGTTACGACAAAAGGAGAAAAGAAAAGAAATAAAAAAAGAAAAAGAGTAAGAACTGAAGGACCCTGGTAATGGAGGTGGGTCTTGTAACTTATCTGTTGCTTTCATTGGTTAACTAATAAAGAAAACTGCTTGGCCCTAATAGGACAGAAAATTAGGTAGGTGGAGTGGACAGAACAGAATTCTGGGAGAAAGAAGCCGAGTCAGGAGTCACCATGATTCTCCCACTCCAGACAGACACAGGTTAAGATCTTCCCAGGTAAGCCACCTCATGGGTTACACAGATTATTAGAAATGGGTTAGATCAATATGAAAGAGCTAGATAATAAGAGGCTGGAACTAATGGGCCAGGCAGTGTTTAAAAGAATACAGTTTCCATGTAATTATTTCGGGGCATAAGCTAGCCATGTGGGTGGCCGGGTGCTGGGGATGCAGCCCTGCCGCTCCTATCACAACAGAGAGTGGTGCCCATATATTTCGGGTATAAAGCTAGCCGTGCGGGCAGCCAGGTGCCGGGAACGAAGCCTGCCGCTCAAATTACAACACCCTGGTCCTTCAGCTGTGGGTGAGGTGGGGGCTGGCCACTAGCCATGCCGTCCCAAACACGAGCTTAATGAAAGGGAGCAAGCCAAAATTGAGTGCCAGCAAAGGGAACAACCGAGGCCCTGAAGACCTGTGGGTTGGGAGCAGTCATCCCATCTCTAGGAACACTGGAGGGTTGCTGGGAGCTCAAGGGTCAATTCCTCAGGTTGAAAGAGAGGGTTAAGCTGGTAGTGACTAAAAAACATTGCATTTAAGTATATTCTCAAAATTTGGAGAGAATGGTTATGGCATGATTGAAATAATCTGTATTCACCAGCCTCTCTGGAAAGTTCTACCAAAAAGGGTCAAGAATCTCTACCTTATCTTGAAAGTAGCTACATTAGATCACTTACATTTTTAGAAGCAGTTTCTATAGTAAAAAAATACAACTAAAATCCTCCTGAATATTAACCTTCATCAGGCGATGAAAGGAGACAGAGACAGAGACCCATATTGGAAAACCAGACAGAAATCTCAAGGTCCAAATCAGGAGCAGAAGGAGAGAGAGCACGAGCAAGGAACTCAGGACTGCAAGGGGTGCACCCCCACACTGAGACAATGGGGATGTTCTATCAGGAACTCACCAAGGCCAGCTGGCCTGGGTCTGAAAAGGCCTGGGATAAAACCAGACTCGCTGAATATAGCGGACAATGAGGACTACTGAGAACTCAAGAACAATGGCAATGGGTTTTTGATTCTACTGCATGTACTGGCTTTGGGGGAGCCTAGGCAGTTTGGATGCTCACCATACTAGACCTGGATGGAGGTGGGTGGTCCTTGGACTTCCCACAGGGCAAGGAACCCTGATTGCTCTTTGGGCTGATGAGGGAGGGGGACTTGATTGGGGAAGGGAGGAATGGGAGCCTGTGGCAGGGAAGAGACAGAAATCTTTAATAAATAAATTAATTAATAAAAAAATAAAATTTAAAAATATGTTTTATTGTACAGGGAAATTAGAAAAACCCAAAACTGAATTATATGTATTAATTAAACAATTGTTAGAGTTTTCTCAACTATTAATTACATTTGTGACAAGTCATTCAGTTTAGATGAGCATGAGAAGTCTTTTCTCAATCAAATGAAACTGGAAAAAATTATAGCATTTCTAGGTTTGAAAAGCCTTACACATATCATGATATAAAACTTTTTCTAGGAACTCTAGGAAGAATAGTTGGTATGGGAGGTCCTTATGCATATGTGTTGCTTTCATTTGTTAATGAATAAAGACGCTGTTTTGATCATTGGCTTAGCAGAATAGACCTAGGTTAGGAAAGCGAAACTGACTGCTGGGAGAAAGAAAGTAGGGTCAAGGAGAAGCCATGTAGTCCCCTGGAGACAGATGCTGGAACCTTGCCCTGTAAGTTACAGCCTTGTGGAGAATCATAGATTAATGGAGATGGGTTAATTTAGGATATAAGTTAGCCAGAAATAAGTGTATGCTATTGGTCAAACAGTATTGAAAATAGTACAGTTTCTGTGTGATTATTTTGGGGTTGGGCAGCCAGGAACAAACAAGTGGCCTCCTTAATACAAATTGGTGTACCAACATGTGATAACTAAATCCACACAGAAACTGAGAGGACTTGGAAAGGAATTCTAGGCACTAAAATAACCAAGTTTAATTGCATTTTTTTTTCCTGCTGGCAGCGTGCTATAGTTGCTTTAAGAGAGGTTTTCCAGATTCAGTGGTAGCAGAAAAAGCTGCACACTTTTGAAATGTTGGCTTTCTGGGCTCAGCCGCCAGCACAAACTCTGGCTCTTTCAGAAGACTGAGCATTTAAATGGGGTATGTAGGTAGTGTGCTGCAAGTTACTTAGTGGCAGCATGGGCCAACTGGTTATCAGAGTTGATGTGATGAGGACAGCCCCCATCCAGCAGTTTCAGAGACATTGCACAGACTTCCACAATGTTAGACTGTGCAGACCAAGCAGGCAGGGCTATATTTGCCCTAGCAATGCTGCCGCTTAGATTTTTAAGAAATGCTTACCATTTTAAGGAGCAGATAAAATGGAAAATACACAGAGAGTCTGGATTATGTATACTATAGTGTTTTCTTTGAATTTTTTGACTGCAGAGAGACATTTGGGGGCTGGTAAGGTAAATCAACAAAATGGTATCTTGACTTCAGAATTTGAGTCTAAGGACATGTTGCTTTGGAAAAGAGGCTTCTCATAGAGTTTGTTAGACAATTGGACAAGAAACGGCTCTTTTCTGGACTGTTTGATGATGTGCTCTATGAACTGGACATGCAGGACCCACAGAGAAATGACTGCTGAACTTGCCTAAAGGTAAGACTTTCCTTCGATATTGCTGCTTTATGAAAAAGTCTGCCAGACATTCTGTAAGACACAGAAAAAAGTGACTGACAAACTGCCAATATAGGTGGAACTGTCTTTGAAAATTCCTGCTTCATGGAAAAGTCTTCTGGATACTATGAGCCTGTAGGCTGAAGATGGACACACCAGTGTTACAGAAGAACTTGGGTGACTGACCAGGCAGCGAAATGTTTCTGTCCATTCTAGAGTTTTGGAAGTTGCTTACAATGCACTTCCTGTTTACTTAGGTAATATTATATCCTTCTGGAGTCATTGATGGAGTTGAAGAATACATAGTTATAATTGCAGTTTTCCGTAGTTAAAACCTTTCTTTTTCTTTAAACAGAACAGGGGAGATGATATGGAATTCCCTTCTGTATGTTCTGAATACCATTGATTAATAAAGAAACTGTCTTGGCCTGTATTACGACAAAAGAGTAGAGGTAGGCAGGGAAATTAAACTGAATGCTGGTAAAAACAAAGGGAGAGTTTAAAGATGCCATATAACCCTGCCATAAACAGACACCGGAATGTGACCTGGTAAATCACAGTCACATGGCAATACACAGATTAATAGAAATGGATTAAATTAATGTGTAAGAGCTAGCAATAAAAAGCTAGAGCTAATAGGCCAAGCAGTGATTTAATTAGTATAGTTTTGTGTGATTATTACAGGAATCTGGGCTTCTGGGAAATGAACAAATGACCTCCTACAACAAATAGTTACGAGAATTCTCATCTTGAAGGGACAAATTCCCAGAACACTAAATGACAGTGTGTTTTTACTTAGTGTTATAAACATAAAAGAAGGCTGATTCCATAAGAGACAATACATATATGATAAATTTAAGGAGACTTTTGATTATAATACAGAATATTTATTTTTTCAAGCATGACCAGAAACAAAAAGCATTAAAGAATCAAAATGAGGTGAGACAAAACACCTATAAGGAATGTGGAAAGTGCTTTAAAAGATGTACATGCCTCACTAGGAATAAGAGACTTAATCCCAAAGAGAAGGCATACAAATGCAAAAATTGTGGCAAGTCATTTACCCATAATGCAAATCTTTTTTTAAATTTTATTTTATTATTTTTTTATTGATAGAAAGGAAAAAAAAGTTTCCCCCTCCTCCCAGCCTCCCATTTCCCTCCCCCTCCTCCCACCCTTCTCCCCCTCCCACACTCCTCTCCCCCTCCCTCTCCAGTCCAAAGAGCAGTCAGGGTTCCCTGCACTGTGGAAAGTCCAAGGTCTGCCCCCATCCGTCCATGTCTAGGAAGGTGAACATTCAAACTGGCTAGGCTCCCACAAAGCCAGAACATGAAGTGGGATCAAAACCCTGTGCCATTGTCCTTGGCTTCTCATCAGCCCTCATTGTTCGCCATGTACAGAGAGTCTGGTTTTATCCCATGCTTTTTCAGTCATAGTCCAGCTGGCCTTGGTGAGCTCCCAATAGATCAGCCCCACTGTCTCAATGGGTGGGTGCACCCCTCGTGGTCCTGACTTCCTTGCTCATCTTCTCCCTCCTTCCGCTCCTCATTGGGACCTTGGGAGCTCAGTCCAGTGCTCCAGTGTGGGTCTCTATCTCTATCTCCATCCATCACCAGATGAAGGTTCTGATGATTGGGATAAAGGAAGGCTGGATAGGGGAGCATGGAAGCACAATTCTTAGTTAAGGGAGCCACCTTAGGGCTGGCAAGAGACTTGAACCTACAGTGGCTCCCAGGATCCCAAGGTGATGTCCCCAGTTAGTTCCTTGGGCAGATGAAGATAGGGAACCTGAAACGACCCTATCCTATAGCATAATGCAAATCTTAAAGCTCACCAGAGAATCCATACTAGTGAGAAACTTTACAGATGTCAATCAAGAATGTGGCAAGTGTTTTACCTAGGTCTCAATTCTTCCTACTCATCACAGAATCCAAACTGGTGAAAAACCTTATGAATGTCGATAATGTTGCAAGTTCTTTGTCTATAACAGAAATCTTCAAGATCACCAAAGAATCCATACTGGTGAGAAACCTCACAAATGTCAAGCATGTGGCAAATCCTTTACCAAGGTCTCAACTCTTCAATCTTATCACAGAATTCATATCCATGAGAAACTTTACACATGTCAAAAATGTGGCAACTTATTTAACATCACAAAATCTTCAAGATCACTAATATTCAAAGTTTAGTCAATACTTAACTTGACAGTTCTTATAAATTTAGAAACATGTATCTAGATTTAAACTTTATAGTCATCATATATTGTTTGTAAACTGAATCGTTTAAGCATTATTGTTATGCTAGCAATTATTCAAACATCAGCTATTATGAATAAATATTTCTAGTAGGATTGAAGTAAGCAATAATAATTCTTGACTGTACGTCAAGAGATAATATATTAAAGAAGCAGAGAACATCAAATTCTTTCAAATATTGATGGATATTTTAGTTTCTTGGTATATTATTCCTATGTAATGTGATTATATTCTATGTAAATGCAATTTTTAATTTTCCTGAAATTATTTGTGATTTCACATAAATATCAGTTTGTTTTAAACTTCATGTGTTTAAAAGTTTAAACAAACAAGCAATAGTAAATGTTTGAGGGAAAAGTTCACAGAAAGCTAATACATAGAAAGCTGCAAGGAAACTAGATGTCCATGGAGACAGAAATGGAAAGAAAATCCAAGGTATGAAAAGCTCAGTGTAGCAGCAAATCACTGAAGGAGGAAGAACATGAGCAAGGAAGTCAGGATCACGAGGGGTGCACCCACCCACTGAGACAGTGGGGCTGATCTATTGGGAGCTCACCAAGGCCAGCTGGACTGTGACTGAAAAAGCATGGGATAAAACCGGACTCTCTGAACGTGGCGGACAATGAGGGCTGATGAGAAGCCAAGGACAATGGCACTGGGTTTTGATCCTACTTAATGTTCTGGCTTTGTGGGAACCTAGCCAGTTTGGATGTTCACCTTCCTAGATATGGACAGAGGGGGGAGGACCTTGGACTTTCCACAGGGCAGGGAACCCTGACTGCTCTTTAGACTGGAGAGGGAGGGGGAGAGGAGTGGTGGGAGGGGGAGAAGGGTGGGAGGAGGGGGAGGGAAATGGGAGGCTGGGAGGAGGCGGAAACTTTTTTTTTTCCTTTTCTCAATGAAAAAATAAGAACTCTGGGGACAATGAAGAACTATGAAATCTATCTTCCCTACTAAACTTTATGCTTTAGACTCAAACTTTATACTTCAGTTTCATAGGAATTGTAAACAATTCTTAAATGTCCTCTATGTGCAATTTTAGCTATCATTTATATAGAAATAAAGACAGTTTCTAATATTAAAAAAATTTTTTTAAGAGAAACAAATAAGACCATCCTGCCAATGGGACACTAGGTGGCAGTCAAACAAAGTCTAAATTATACTTCAGATTTTGCACTCTGACAATGTCCTCCATACATGCAGACTGCACTAAGTCACTTTCTAACATGGTCCAACATCCACGTGAAATAATGAACAAGGTATCTGATGATTTTTACCAGTTTCCCTCCGTACAATAAAATAGGTAAAATGCACTCGGGAGCAGAGGCAGGCGGATCTCTGTGAGTTCAAGGCCAGCCTGGTCTACAAGAGCTAGTTCCAGGACAGGAACCAAAAGCTACGGAGAAACCCTGTCTCAAAAATCAAAAAAAAAAAAAAGGTAAAATGCTATTGTGTGAATCCTAACATCATTAAATGAACCTGTTCTCTGTAGAAAGAGAACATGGTAAAAACAGAACTTGGTGACTGGTTAGGGCTTCGAAGGAGGGCGAGAGTTCAGGTCTCCCTTACTTCAGTGATTCAGAACAATTTACCCACTGCTGATTACTAGAATAGAGACAACAGCAGACAGAGCAATGGTCAGCCAAGATTCAGTGAATGGAAAAGGACATTTACAGTCTATAATATAAAATTTAGGCACACAGAGGCCTAAGAAAACACAGCTGCATGGACAGCTATGGAGGGTGTGACCTTTGTATTCAATAAGATAAACACTCATAAATATAACTTAAACTTAAAATGAAAAGTTATATAAACGCCAAAATATTTAAATAAGAATATCTGAGGGAGAATAGCCAGGGAATCCAGTTGTCCACATATGGAAATTTCCAATAGAATCACATGCTGTTTGTAAAGTGACATGATTAGTATATTTTAATTATGGGAATCACAGTCCTTTGGTGTACTAGACTTAGGTACATGTCTAAGATTGAATTTCTAGGTCATTATATTTGACGTATGATGTTATATGCATAGAAAGCATATTAGTGCTTCTATTCAACTGTAAATCCCACAGAGGCCTTTATCATTATTTTTCCATATTATTATTATTATATGATAAGACACTTCATTTATCATAAAGACACATTTGTTATATTTATCAATTTTTTTCACTTAAGCTGAATGAGCTGTGGGAAGGGTCTTGGGAATGGGGAAGTGTAGGCCATGTATATGACTTGGGGCCTGTTGTCTAGTAGCTCTCTGCAGCCTGGCAGACAATAGATCACAAATGTGTCTCCATATACCCCCACATGTGAACTACATTGCTTTTAAAGTTAGAGGGAATTACCCTTAGCTCTTTTCTTTCTTTTGGTATATGAGGTGGTACCTTCTTCAAATGAATATCATATTTATGTTTTTCAACTATTTCAGAAATGTTTTTTTTTAAATCTTTATTGATGAGTTCCTTTAGAGACATCCAGTGGAAATCACTCTGCCCATTCATAATTTTCTCATCATTTGCACTGAGGGTTCTCATGAATGTAGAGAGACAGGCACTGTCACAGGCACCTTCATATTTTTTTCTCATTCCAAAGTTGTTCACTACAGGAGGGAGTATGGAGTATTAACTTGGGTTGATTTCCCAACAGAAGTTCTTCTCCTTTATGTGCCTGTTTGCAAGCGTAGTCTTTAAAAGTCAAAAGTCATAGACCAAAGAAAGTAATACATTCTTAATATTTAACAGTTAGACATCTTCATTTATGTTTAGTCTGTCTCAAATCACTAGGCTATCTTTAAAAACTGAAAATAATTTGCATTCTCCAAAAGTGAACCAAAAATCATGAGTCCATGACCTTTATTGAGTCAGTGTTGTTTGGAATAAACTTATGTTATGGTGTGTTATGTATCCTAAAACATGATGAGATGAGATGGAACATGTAAAAACCATTCTCACCTTTCAAGATTTGACCTATGTGTTTCCTGAGAGAACTTATACTATTGTACCCGAGGAGTGTTTATTAAACAATGATGTTTTCCACAAATTCATGATTATTATATCTCAAACAATTATCTTGACAACACATAATATGGAAGGAAATATTTTTAAAGTATCATGTAGGATTTTTACTGTATTTTAATAACTTTAACTTAAGTATTTTTAAATTTTAGCATGCTTACAAAATTTTTCCCATGAATAACCTCTTAAGGGTGAATGCCATTAATTGCTGTTAATAGTACATGTTAGATTGGCTTGAGATCACAGAGAGTGAAGAGAGCTATTTCCTGTGTCAAAAATCTAGAAACATGTGTTTATACACATTCAGCTGCTTCTGTGTCAGAGAAGAAGCAGTTGATAGTAAAGCTTAGGGGACAACAATTGATGATAAATCCATTACAGGTATTACACTGGAAGACATAAGTAAATTATCCAAACAGTAGAGACTGTCAAATTGTCAGAAAGATCAAATGGGTTTGGGAAAATAGTCCAGCATCAGTGTAAAGCATTTTTAAATGGTCAGAGAGAAGAGACAAACAAATAAAAACTCTGTACAAAGGACAGCAAGAATCAGGCACAAAGAACAGATTTTTTTTTCAAACCATATTCTGTGGTTTTGTTATGCATGTCCATGGTAAATTTGTGCTACATCCGGTTCTAATGAAGTCTACAGTCTACTTGTGACGGTGTAATAAGTAAGTAGAGTGAAACCCAAGCTTCAAAGGTTCCATTCTTATTTACTAGGCGTCCTTCTTTACCTATCCCCACATCCTTCATACATAGTCTTTGTTACTCATGTTTAAGTATAAGGATGGTTCCTAACAGTAGGTCATCATGGGAATAATGAAAATCTCAGTATTTGCTTTTCATGTCAGAATATATGAGTCCATAAGGATCTATCATAACATACTGTGGTAATATGCTACATGCTTAATGAACAAAGTCTAGTGTTAAAGCCTTTTGAACTCTACTGCTTCCATTAAAAGAAGCCAAAAATACTTGCAGTTCTCACAAAATTTCAAAGTCACAAATAACTGTGGTGAAATAAAATTGCTTTCACTTGTGCTTCATTCGACAGCTTCTATTTGTTAATCTAATTAGCAGCCCCAACATCTTTGTGAATCTTCCCAGTAAAAACAAGGTAGAGGTATGATAAGCTTCATAAGATTTGGATCTCCATTGGAGTTCAGCTTTCCTTTCCCCACTGCTGCTTTGCCTTGGTTGAGTGCAACCGGCCAGTGCAGCCCATGATCTCACTGGATAACTTGACTGCTGAGCAGACCACTTGAACTCCGCAAGGGAGAAACTCAGCATTTTAATGTCTCTTGTTTTCATGAGTATCTGTTTAACCAAGTCAGGAGTAAATACTCCCTGATTTCTGAGGCTCTGCAAATGGTGAGTGTGCATGTAGCAGGTGAATGGTATTTAGTAATACTTTTTTAAAAAGCAAATCCTCTAGAGAGAATCCAGGAACAGAAGCTCAGAAGAGATGGCTGGTTCTATAGTAAGTATGTCTCTGCACAGCAGCTATGCTCAATTTCTTCTACAGTTGGTATATTTATTTTGCAGATTTTCTCTGCTTCTCATATTCTTGCCTAAGGAGTTTATTTCTTTTGATATTTGCGTGTCTGTGCTAAATTATGACAGTTATGATTGAGTCTTTAAACATACACTATTTACACGGTGTCAAATTCCCACTGTTTTGTTTTGTTCTTGCCTGCTCATTTTTTCAAGATAGAGATCCTCAATGAACTGATGATGCTTATCATTGGGGATTCCATTGTGACAGAGGAATATTGTAGTTTCTTGATGCCCAATTCCTCCAGAGACCAACTCAC